AGTGAGTGGAGGGGGTGAGGCAAGGACAGGGAAATAATGATGGAGTACCTCAAAGTTTGATGCAAAGACGCATGACCGCACCGGCTCGCCTGGTACGTTCCAGCCTGGGTTTTCGTTTGTAACTTTACCCCTCTAGAACTAAATTTACTCAATTTTTTGCATTTTTCCATGATCCCTACATCCTTTTTGCTAAAGAAAATAATAGCAGCCGTTTCCCACTATCTTTTCTTCGACTCCCTTTCTTTTTGTATGAATTTATGTTTGGAACATTTGTGAGATGTAAAGCTGTTTCCAGTTTTAGTCCCTTGAATTGCTGAAACTGATTAAGATGTATATTGTCACAAAGTGCAGGTTAAAGTCGTGACAAACTGGCTTGCAGATTGCAATGCTTATGGGAAATGCGGTGTGCAAATTTTTGCAGCCTTCAATTTATGAGAGTATAATTCGAGTCAAGAAATATCCATATCTTCCTGATTTACCGCCTTCCCGAGTCAGGTTATTCTAAATTGCCGATGAGTATTTGTTGCTTTACACTCCTACAATTTTCAAACCTTCCAAACGTTTTTCCGGATTTCAACCTGAGCTAAAAGAGGCGGTAAAAACGTTGCAGATTTAGCTTTCTTGAGCCACGGCCCCATTTCCTCGGCCTTTTTTGCACCACTTTGAGTGAGTTTCTCTACTTTTTACATTCAAAAATGCAGCTAGACCTTGTGTTGCAGCTACGGCAGATTACCGTATGATTGCAAATTTTAGTGTGCATACAGTAAAAGTTGAACAAATAATGGTGAAGGATGTTATTTATATAACGAAATCCACAACTTATCGTGAACTTCGTGAAATACTCCGCTTTGCACCAACGCTAAAAAGCTTTCCCGTTGTCACCGATCGCAGTAAGCTGCATATGTGTTGATGTTTTCCACTGTTCGAATTGTGCCCCCAACCTGGACTTTACACACTTTTGCATCACTGATGAAGTGCAAAAGCGCATATTGTCGGGATTTTGTATGTGTGTGCGTGTGTGTGTATGTGTGTGTATGTATTTACGTGTGTGAGTGTACGCGCGGATAATTGAGCAGAGAGATGAAAATTCTACGAATGTGCTTGGTCCACGCTTAGCCCCACAAGCATAAAATTTACTCTCAGGTGCGTCTATGTTTCATATACGAACGCTTGAAACCAAAGTTGAAGAAGTTTTGGCAGGAAAACGATTTCTGGAACAAGACAAAGTAAAAAGCTGAAATCTCGTGAGCGAAAATCAACACGGTAATCGAATGTGCTAGAGGTTAAGAATTCACGTGGCCTCATAACGCAAAACAAATTTCTCAGCCCTCTCCAACAAACACGTTGGACTATAAAGCAGCAACCATTCAGACTGTTAACGATTTAATTGTTCCGTGATTTACGCAAAAACGCATGATCGCACCGGCCAGCGTATTGCTTGGTCTGGTTTCTTCTACGAAGAGTAACTATTATGAGGCAGCGCGAGTTGAATGGTTACACAGGTGACGGGAAAATGTGATATTTCTTTTTTCAAGCAAAAAGCCAAGTATCAAATTCTTAAAAAATAAAGGACAAAAGTTTTGAGCGAAAGTCGTTATCGCCACTAAGCAGTAAGTCGCGCGGTTTTGATCATATCAGGAATGCAAAAGTTGCTAGTTCTATAGATGGTGCGAAGGGGCGCTGCGGTGAAGTAAGCAGCGGTTACGTATAGGTTCAATAGTATACTGCGCCGTCAACACATTTCCATGTATTAGAAGTTTCTTGTGAAACTGGAGATCTGTTGCTGGTGTGTTTCAGAATACAAAATTTTGCTGGGATCAGTGGCAAAAAAATATCTGGTGGTGATGATGAGGCGCCATCTGATTGACGCTGCTGAATTCAACATTCCCAGTAGACGTACTGCCGGAGAATTTTTCAACAGCATCAAGAGGTGAGGCACCCACAAAATTTTTCATCAGCTCAGTTTTAAGTAATTTTTCTGATATGTTTGACGGAACAGGAATTGTGCAGCTCAAAACAAAAGGCCTCACACAGTTGCGTCCTTCATACGTGAATATCCCAGAAATATCAGATGCAACACCGATTATCCTTTGCCGACGGGACATGCTATTTTACTAGGTTTACTAGCAATCTGAAAGTGTATTCTGGCCTGGCAATAATACTGCAAAGAGCTCTCCATTTTCTGATTATGCGTTTTTGCCGTGCAGCGCTAGAGCGCTGCAACAGGCAGCAAAAACGCATATCGCAACGACCCTGTCAGTGTGTGTGTGTTTGTGCGTGTGTGTGTGTGTATGTGTGTGTGTGTGTGTGTTCGTCCGTCCGTCCGGGTGTTTCAACTCGCCAACCACGCAAGTTTTGAGGCTGAAATTTTGCCTGTGTGTTCTCCAGCCAGGTGCCACCCCAGGACTGCAGTTTCAACCTTCACGCACGTCTGGTCCACGCGCACGAGCACGTGAAAGCCTTGGCGCGAAAATCGCTAACTCGGGAACGAGAAAAGCAAGAAAGCTGAAACCTTGGAGAAATGTTCCCTACCTGTGTATGACAAAAAGATTTCAAATTCAGCTGCCCAGGATTGCTTACT